GTCTTTCAGTTTTCTGCCAGTAAATTTTGCCAGTGAATTCTATTCAAAGGATTCCTACGACGCACAACACCATCAATGTCTTATATTCCTTATGTATTAGTAGTATTAGATTAAATAAAGTGAGGACAATTTAGGAACTAATATTGAACATATACTTTGGTCTTAATACTAACAAAATAGAAAATTATATTGACAGAAATTTCCATCAAGCCCAGGTTTTAAAACAGTTAATAGACAGCGATAATACTGTATCTCAAATCAGTTTTAAACACAGAAATAGAAAGTCAACGTTTCATAAGAAAGTTTTGTAATATAGATGAAAAGAAAACGTTATCATCTAATTTGGAGCGATAATACACATCACTGACCTATCTCAGTGGGAAAATATTCGGGTAAATAGAAAGGTAAAGATATTTGTCATATGAGGTAAATAAGGTAACCTTACTTAACACAGGATCTCTCAACCTTGCCACTACACTGACATTTAAGGCCAGATAATTCTTTGTTGTGGGGCACTGTCCAGTGTACTGTAAAATATTTAACAAGATGCCTGGCCTCTACCCATTAAATACCAGTACCTGCCCCCTTCCCTCTTTCCTCCCTACCTCCTTCCATCCTACTTTCTGTGATAAACAAAATGTCTGCACACATTGCTAAATGTCTCCTGGGAGGCAAAATCTCCCCTAGTTGAGAACCACTGTCTTAATATAATTTAAGATTACTGTTGCAGCTTAAAAAGTCTCTACAATTAGTAGCTGGTTTCTGGCTTCCAAAATCTCCCAGATTAGTCAAAAATTATTTTAGAAAAAGTCACACAATACTTTGTAAATATTTCAAACTTAAAATGTTCTCATTAGGTAGAAGAAAAATCAAACTGATCAAATTTTGTAAGTGTTGAGACACGTCTTAGAGATATCAAGTTATATGAAGATACAGACAGGTCCTAATATAATTTTTTTTTAGCCAATTAAAGGACTAACCTAAAAAGTATTAAAATATCATCCCAAGTGGATACTAGATTGGATATCTACCTGAATAAATTGTGTAATGTCAGAAAATGGCCCACCACCAAAAAAACCCTAACCACATGGTACGTATTGGTAAGTCATAAAAGTATAAAGTCTTACCTGTAATATACTTCCAAGTTGTTTATGAAAGAACTTTACAAACTCTTTGCTCTCATCATTTTGCTGGGTAAGGGTCAAAACCATGCGTCTTACTGAAGTTAAAAGTTGAGAAGAGCATACTTCATCCATGTGCTCCTGAGAAAAATCTTAGTTGGTTAGGATATCAACTTACTTATTGTTTAAAAAGTATTAATCCATATAATATGAAATTTTATTTTTCTTGCATAGATGCTTCTCAATTTTCAGATATACATTTAGAAATGTATGTTCATAAGAAAAGCCAAACTCCCCCCCAACACACATTGAGAAAGGTTTGGCAATTCTGACACACCAGAGCAGGTAACAGCCAGTAAAAGATCTGGCTAATCAATGTTTCATCACTTCCTTTTTGTACCTTAAGGAGAATTACCCACGCTACAGTTTCGATTTTGCCTATCTTCCTGTTTGCAGTTCAGTTAATTTCAACCATACTCACTTTCTACCAAATTCCCTATTATCTTCTAACTCAGAGTCTCTCAACCTGTTTATCACTGACGTCCTGTGCATTATAGAATGTTTAGCAGCACCCTGGCCTCTAACCTCTAGATGCCAGTAACACCTCCTCACTCCCTCCACACACCATCTTGACAACTAAAAATGTCTCTAGATATTATGAAATGTCTTGAGGGTCAACATCACCCCTAACTTTCGTAACAAACCACTTCAGGCAAATCTCTTCTTAATCTGCCTTTAGGATGTGTGAACTATAAAATAATCCAAATTATGGTTAACTTTTTGAGGTGAGTTTATAAATCATCTATATTAAGTAATCTCAAGGTTCTAATTCTTCTTCTGCTACTAAATTCATTTAAGCAAATTCTGTAACATTTTCTCAGTTCTCTTTCCCCCATTATTTAAATCTATAAAATGAGGTGGTCAAACTAGATGATGTCTAAGGCCCCTTCTTTAGATTTAAGTTCATTTAAAATAATTCATGTGTCAATGCAGGTGATTTTTTTTTTTTTTTTTTGAGACAGAGTCTCACTGTGTTGCCTGGGCTAGAGTGCTGTGGCATCAGCCTAGCTCACAGCAACCTCAAACTCCTGGGCTCAAGCGATCCTCCTGCCTCAGCCTCCCGAGTAGCTGGGACTACAGGCATGCGCCACCATGCCCGGCTAATTTTTTCTATATATTTTTAGTTGTCCAATTAATTTCTTTCTATTTTTAGTAGAGACGGGGTCTCGCTCTTGCTCAGGCTAGTTTCGAACTCCTGAGCTCAAACAATCCACCCGCCTCGGCCTCCCACAGAGCTAGGATTACAGGCGTGAGCCACCGCGCCCGACCAAGGCAGGTGATTTTTAAAAAACCAAAAATGGTCCCTGTCTTCAAAGAGTCAAATACGAGGGGAGGAGTGAGATATGTATTAATACATAATTAATGACTACAAGCTCTGTGCTATCTAGCAGATAATACTTTTAACTGCAAGGACTGTTTCTTATTTATCAACTAATATAGGGGCTAGCTCACAGGAGAAGTTATTTGTTGAACAAATAAATATACAAAAAGCACACATCAAGGTGCTATAAAGAGATATGGGAGCATACTAGAGACAACAACAAATATCTCTGAAGGAGTCCTATTTCAGCCAGGGAGAAAAGAGTAAAAAGTATTTTATATCTTGGATAGAGGAGACAACTTGTACAAAAGGCTAATGTGTGAAAAAGTAACTGCGGATACAGGAGCTGTTGAGTAATTTGAAGTGACTGTACCTAGGTGGGCAGTGGGGAAAATATGCCAGATCCAATGGTGAAGGCTTTTGAAGGTTAAGGAATTTGGTTATGACCCTGCTTAGTAAACACCTGCTTCATGCCTATTATGACAGGTAGTCCAGGCAAAAAATAAGGTTATGAAATAAGGTTATGCTATTGGAGAGAAGAAAGTAAAATTGATTGCTGTTAGGAAAAAGAGTCCATTTTTGACTCACTGGTGAAAGTAAGATAAGTCTAACTTAGGTGACTGTGTGTAATGTCAACTGGGTA